TTGGGATTCGATACCTCTTGTACTACAACTGCTTTTGCTGTGCACTTGCAGTAGTTTTATTTGGGTAAAACCTGACCCTATCAATAACTCAGAGAAGTTGCACACAAATTCATCACTCATCCCAGTTTTTTCTTCAAAGGCCTTGTCTTTGGCTACCTACACTTTCCCAAAACATGTGGGTTCGGGAAAGTACTGTTTTCTTTTCCAGGCTTTAATGAATCGGTTTCTCTGTTTGAGCTGATTGCACTCGTTTCTTTGGTGTCCCTTACGTTTGCAGAAATAAAATTTCCTGATGAGTTGACCATCCTAACGAGATAATGGCGACCTGATGTTTGTTTGAGCTTTGTACTTGACCTTCTTCTCTTTCACAAGCGCTTCTGAAACAGACTTCGACGTAGATCTTAGCACAAAATGTGACAGATTGGAACTAGAGAGTTGAGTCTCTCCTCTACCGCCAGTGAAACCAAGACCCCAGTTCACTTTTGGTGGCTGTCCTATTGACAGAATCTTATCTAGGTCTTTCGTCCCAGTGTTCAACATCCTATCTTCTTATGATTATCATTCAGTTCTTGTAAGAGGCTTTTAGCTTTTTCTTCCTCTTCTGAACAAGCAGCCATAATCCGTTTGATGTTCGCTTCTAACACTCTGTTCCTTTTTTTCTCATCAAGCAATTCCTTCTTGAGTAGCTGGATCTCTTTTTCATCTGTCACAGTTTTCCTGTCTATCTGCTCTGAACTCTCATCTTTTTCACACTCGAGTATGTTTAGCTGAGCCTTCAACATAGCTAACTCCTTGATGAGATGCAGGTTCTCATTACTGAGAGATACATTCTTGTTGTACATATCACTATACTCTTGAGTGATGTCGAATCCATCATCATCGTCAGTATCAGATTCACTGTCACAGTCAGATTTCGTTTTACCAACCTCCTCTTGAGATGTGAATGCAACGAAGTTGAGCATTAGTTCCTGACTGGATTCATCATTGTCTTCTGAGTCACTATCACTGAAAACGACCAATGATTTATCTCTGCTTCTTAGATTGCTCGAGATACTCGGACACTCTGCTTTTGTGTGGCCACAACCTTTACATTCATGACACTTTAGCTCCTTTCTTTTTGCAAGTGGACATTCACTTTTGAAGTGTCCAAACCCATCACACTCATGACATTTAAGGTCTTTCTTTCTTCCTGGACGCTCTTCATCATATTTGTGTCCTTTCTCTGATTCATACCTCATATCCTTTCTGAAGACCTTGTTCTGTCCCTTCTCAACTCGTTTCAACATTTTATTGAAGTTTCTAGCCATCAAGCTTAGGTTTTCTTCGATTTGTTGAACTCGGACATTTGTCTTTTTCAGCTGCAAAGGCAATCCCTTTTGGTTTGTCTGGTTCTTCAGCCGCAGCCTCCATTTCCTCAGCTTTCAGCATTTTACACAGCTTGTCGAACTTCATATCATTAGTATTCATGAAATACTTCAGAACTGCCTTGTGCGCTGCATACTTTGGTGGAAGACATCTAAGCAGCTTTTTTCACCAGCTTCTTTTCCTTGTACTTCTTTCCTAAGACAGAAGCTTCATTAGCAATATTGCTAATCTTTCCAGTAAAGCTAGCTATAGACTCATCTTTAGCCATTCTGAGGTTTTCGAATTGTGATGCTAGATGATCAATCCGAGTTCTTCTGACACTCGTATCTCCTTCAAAATGATTGATGAGCGTATCCCAGGCCTCTTTAGCTGACTCACACGCCTGTATAATTTTGAATTGATCTATATCAACTGCCCCAAATATAGCTATCATGGCCTTGGAGTTATACTTCGATGCGTTCTTATCAGCTTCAGTCCATCTCTCCCTAGGTTTAGGTTTCACAACCGTCTTAGATGGGATTGTTTTGTCTTCTGATTTTTCTTCTACCAGAATCGTTGGGGGTTCCCACCCATCAATAACAGCTGTCCAGGCGTCTTCATCTATCCCATGTATGAGATGACGCATCCTAGCCTTCCAGTGGCCAAAATTTCCAGCATCAAGTATCACGGGCTTTTGAACCGCGATGAGCTCCCTCATAGTATCCATGGTTACGCCAAGATCTCAACCTGTATGATAGATCTGCTGACCTATAAAGTGACCCGCTCTGATACCAAATGTAGAACCAGTATACTACAAGAGATATAAACTAACAGCCCAAGAACACTTGATTAACAGAAGTTCAAAAAACTGTTCTTATTAAGAATCACTTAAACAATCCTTTCAGACTTGTTAAACAGAATTACACAACAGTTGTCTCAACAACTTTGACACTGATCAATTCATAATCTAGCCACACAGCTACAGCTGTGTTTGCTCAAAGGAGCTCCTAAACTCTTCTTCCAAATCAAGAGTGCTCTAGCCCCAAAACCCCTAACCAAACTTTGTTACAGAAGTAAATCATATATACTCGCCTCGTCATATTACTCTTGCCAAGTCTTCGATGCATCGTATATTCGCACAAAGCCAAATAAGACAACTTCAATATCTTTCTTGATTCCCACGTATCTCTTGGTGTAGCAATCCTATCTTCGCGTCTTATGTGTTTGACTCACTTTCCAGATGTTCCATGAATCTCCATCTTACACAATGGTCAAACCTAGGATCACGCCACATGCTAAGCTTGTTGCAGCTTCACTCCAGCTCAAGAAATCTTCTTCCTTCTCTGATTCTAGTTCTTGTGATGTCTGCTGATTTTCCCGACACTAAGGCCACAAAATCCAAGATTTTTCTTCAGAATACGACAGGCTGTGTTCGAAACTGTCTAGTTTGCGGTATAGGACCAATAAAATAGCTGTAGTAGAAATTCATTGAAGAGGGAAACGAGAGGTCTTCAAGATTAGGAAAGCTTGTTGTACACTAAGTCTAGTGAATCAAGTTGAGACAGGTTCGCTATTGTTGATTGAATCTTTCCCAACAAGATCCTTAAGTAGACCAATGGATTCAGGGATTTTGTTCTTCAAGACTCTTATGAGAGAAATCAAAGGCCGTTAAGAGTATAAAGATCTGTTCTTCAAGACTCTTGTGAGAGATACGAGAAGATCAGGCTTAGTTTAAAACACACTTGTGATGTTCAATGAGAGGACATGGCAAGTGTTTCAAGCGACGCAAGGTTGATAAATTTTGAGATAGATATTGAGATTAGTGACTTCTATGAAATTATTGTAGTTATGCTATAAGAATTTTAGATTAGACCGTGCCGCTTATAGATGGCTGTCTTGTCATTACCTAAAGTTAAAGACTTTAGAGAAGGAAATGTTGAACAGAGCAGAAGGGAAGGTTCCAATGAATGAGTTTTGGTTTGCATCAAAAGTCTTCAGCTTGGAGAGTTCACTTATGTCCGGAGGAAGTGTGATTGTGAATTTGTTTGAGTTGAGTACTAAATTTGACAACTTTGTAAGATTGAGTAGTGCAAAGGAGGAAGTTACTAATGAGTTTGTTATCTTGGACATGTAACCTAGTGAGTTGCTTCATAATGGCAAACGAAGATGGCATTGTGGGATAAGTGAGATGAGAAAGGTTTCCATTTGAAGATGGGATCAGACCACTAAAAGGAAAGCTTCTTCAATTGAAGACGAAATCTTTCCAGAGAAATTGCAAAGCTTAAGTGTCAAAAGTATTTAAATGTTTTGAGTTTGCAGATGGAATAAGGTATTATACGACCGGAAAAGATGCTCCTACGATAAAAAGTTTTACTGCTTCATCTCTTTCTAATCAGCATCATTCATCAAGTTAGTAATCATTTACAATTTTTCTTTTTATGAAAAACTATACTTATTATATTGAAATTCAGAATTGAATCGTTTACACATCTAAGTAAACGTAATATTTTATATCTCCATATTAAACGAATAAGAAATGCTCTACTTTACTACAATTGGTAAAAAAGAACCGACGGAATTAATTTACAATTATGTCATTCGGCGAAATACCAATAAGGCCGGATAAACAACGGTATCAGACTGAACTTGGTTAAATAATTGTTATTTGCTTGTTGTTAGTTGTGTTAACTGTTTGATGATCAGTCTCTAGTTATGGACTACCACAAAGATTTTACAGTAAGTCAAATTTAACACTAAATTTAATACTCTTTATCTGGACAACTTAAACCTTAGCTAAATTAATCTTTGTCCTACCGCGTTCCCGCTTTAAATGTCTCTCTACTTTTAGTTTAGGGCGCTTTGTTTCTTCTCGTCTCTACGGTTTTTCCTTTCCTCTTTTGTACAAGACCTTTGATTGACGAAGAACACGAGACTCTGGGTAAGATTTTTCTCTGGAAAGTTCCTTCTTTTCATCTTTGGGTTTTAGTTTTACATTTCCTTTTAAGATTGTTGAGAAAAAAAATCCTCTCTTTCGTCGCCTATTCTTTACTGCTTGTTCTTAAATCTTCACCGATAACGAAACTTTCCGGGTACGATTTTCTCAGGAAACGTTCCTCTCTTTTATCTCAAAGTTTACATTTTGGTTGAGATTGTGGAGAAATCCTTTTGGAAAAGATTGAATCTTATGAAAAGCTTGAATCTTTTTGTCTGTTTTTTCTTCTTCCCGTAAGTTCTTTCGGAGAGGTCTGAGAAAGATTCTGGATTTTAGAGCTATGCAGAATCTCTTTCGTCGCCCATTCTTTACTGCTTGTTCTTAAATCTTCGATCGATAACTAAACTTTCTGGGTACGATTTTCTCAGAAAAAAAATCTCTCTTTTATCTCAAAGTTTACATTTTGGTTGAGTTTGTGGAGAAATCCTTTTGTGAAAGATGAAATCTTATGAAAAGCTTGAATCTTTTTGGATGTTTTTTCTTTCTTCCTGTAAGCTCTGAGAAAGAATCTGGATTTTAGGGCTTTCTAGAAATCGAGAAGCTCTATATAAAAAAAAAAGGTGTGATTTTGTTTGTGTTGTTTGTTCCAGGATTCAAAGTCATGACAGGAACATCATCGTCATTAGCTCGTTCGGACAAATCTGGGAAGGAAAAATCCTTGTATATGGCTACTGTGAAGGACGAATTCGCTTCTTTTTTGGTGGCGAGAAACAGACTGTTTGGTCAAGAGAAAAACATAGCGATAGAGCATGAAATTCTGAAGGAGAACCATGAGATTCTGAAAAGAGACTACGAATGTCTTCAGGAAAGATTTAAGCATGAAGTGGAAACTTGTGAGATCATGAAGAAGTGTCTTCAGGGCAAAGCCGAAGACCCCTATGAGGAAACTAATAAACGCTTGTTGGAGGATTGCGAGAGAGAGAGAAGCGAGAAGGAGAAGTATAAGAAGATGTTCGAGGAGATGAAGGCAATGGAGAGTGAGAACAAGGCAGTGGAGAGTGAGAGGAAAGCCATCATTGATGAGCTGATGATGGAAAAACAGGAGCTTTTGATGGCGATGAGAAGACAGGAAGACGATTTTGAGATACTGGAGAACAAGTTTGTTGAATTGGCTGAGAAATTCGGCGTGGTTGAAAGAGATTACTCATACCTGAAATCACTCTATGATGCTGAGGTAGCAGCAGCAGCTTCAGGAGGAGAGACTGAGAATCTCATCGGTCATGGTGGGAACAATGTCAAAGGTATATCATCAATACTTATGTATGGTATGTGCCAAAGTGTTCTTGATTAGAGAGAGCTATGCAGAATCTTGATCTTTTCTTTGAATCTATCTTTTGTGTGCAGATTCCATAATGATAAGTGATGAGAGTGATGATGAGCAAGATGATCCTCCAAGAGAGATTAACATTACCACCACTCAGCTTTCTGTTGAGAAAAGCCAAGAAGAACAAAGCAAGAACAGAACAAACTCATCAAATGGGAACCAAGCTTTGGGAGAAACCGTGACGCCGAGAGATGTTAACCATCCACTGCCTGTTCCAGCTTCACCATCGTCGTCATCATCATCTTCTTCTTTAGATGGCTATGATGTTGTGGTGAAGCTTCCAGCTAACTGGCCCGAGTGGGCAATCCCGAAAGGTCCAGGAGATGATTCCAACAAGTCTTAAAAGAACATTTCAGGGGCAGAGGACATAGAGCCACAAGAAGTGAATTTGAAAAAGCTGTAAACTCTTTTAAGTTAAGTTAGTTAAGTGCAATTTCTTCTTACATTATGTAATGAATAAGTATCAAACCCATTTATCATTAGCAATCAAAATAAGTATCTAGTTTATCATAAATGGATGAGCTTTCTCGATGGAATACATGGAAAAAACATTGTAAACTCAAAAGATCAAACAAATGCAAGTTGTTTTTATGTAAAATATGCTGAATAATAATAACATTTCCAACCGCATAATCATCCATTTTATGAGATTTAGTTCCGGGAACTGCTTCCGGCGTTGAGGTTCTGGAAGAGCTCAGGAAGATGGGAGTTGGTGAGTTTGGTTCTCTTGCTGATCTCTTGCTTCTTCTTCTTCTGCTTTGGTTTGTTCGATATCCCGTGGAACTCTGCAGCAGCTCTCTTCTGCGCTGTGTTCATCACTGGCTTCAGACCAATCTTCTGCAGCTCGTTCTCCACGTCAAGCAAGTCCGTAGGGATCTTTATCTCGCGGAATAGAGATTTAAACTCGTCATCAACATCAATCTGGCCCTTGAAGTCGTTCGGGTACGCAATGTCCTCCTGCGAATCAGCATTTGACAGGAACCAAATGTGTTTTGAAGCTTTCAGAGCCTGCGATATACAAAGACAATGTTACTGTCTGAAACTCTTCCATGTCCCTTTGGTTTCAAGAAACACAACTTTGTGATCTTTTCTACATCTGCTTTAGCAAATACACACAAAACACAAACTTGAAATAGTTTTTTCATTCATCATCAACTAAAAAGCTCATTTCTCATCTCAACATTGATCTCAGATTCGCAACCGAGAACCTAAAAGATTTCAGTAAGCTATGTTATCACAGATTACCAAACTCTGAGTGGGTTATTTCCGAAGACATCATCTTTGTTACGAGTCCCGACAATGACATAACAAAAAAAGCGTACCTGTAAATCATCCATGACAGTTTTGTAAGCGTCTTTGAGATCAGCAGCCGCAATCCCAGTAGGATATTTGTTTATCAACGCGAGAAGCTCGTCCTTGTTTGTGACATCGTGCGTTGACTGCAAAAAAAAATAATAGCAGCAGGATTTTTAAAACAAGTGAAAGACTTTTCAAAAGAGAGAAACAAAACCCAATCTTAAAAGTGTGTACCTTGTAAGAGAACCTCCTTCCATCATAATGCACTTTAGGATTGTTCTTCATACTGTCAAAGACAGCTTTGTTGGATAACATATCAACATAACATTCCTCGTTGATTTGCTCTGGTGTAAAGGCTTTCCTTTCCTACAGTAACAAACCCAAACAAAGACAACTTCACTATTATACATGAATGAATCAAAAACAAGAACAAGAACAACAACAAAAGGGCAAAGCGGAAGCAGAAACCTTATACAAAATCTCAATGACACGCTTGATTTGAGAACCAGTAGGAGCTTTTCTTATGTTGTGGATGGCCTGAAGCCGATCGGTGTCTTTCGAGAATAATTTGCCAGAAGCTGTCGGCTTCTGAGTTACTGCTGCAGGTACAGGATGCCTCGAAGGTCCTGCAACAGGTCTTGAAGCATTGATGCTGGAGAGTGTTGATTGACATTTTTCTTGCTGTTTCTTGAACTTATCTAGTTGCCCTCTTAGACTCATCTGGAAGAAACATAAATTAATCGGATTATTGGAAAAAACAGTTCTCGATTGAAATCACTAACACATAACTTTTTGATTCAGAAATTGTCTAGGGCAGATTCCGGGGAATCGATTCTGACGTTTACGATATCCAATTTCTAACAAGAAATTGATTAAAAAAATTTGGGAGACAATCCCAGAAATTGAAAATCGGCGACGGTTAGTTATGCGAAATCGTGAAAGACCACCGAAAAATTATCCGAATAAGTTTTTTTGTACCTCAGAGATAACTAAGCACACGAGCCGCGAATATCTCAATCGCCGGGAAGCCAATCGTTGACGACCGACGTAAATTGAAGGAGGAAGACGATAGCAAAAGGCGGTGGAAGAAGAGAAGAGAAGAGAAGCGGAGCAGAAATCTGATTCGATAGAAAGTTATGTTCTAAGGTAGAAAATAAATTGACTGTTTTTAGAGTAAACAATTTAATAAATGTTTTTGTTATATATAGTGTTTTTGTTATCCGAATCAGCCCTTTTAGTTTATCAATGTTACATAAAATGTCCCAATGTTAATACTACTTTGAGATTTAATAAAGTTTAAGTTCTTTTTATCTATAAGAAAATCCCATCCACATGTCAGTTTAATGGAGTGTTAAGAATCTTTCACATGTGAAAAAATGTTTTAAGTCAAATAAAAAAATGTGCATAAAAACATTTCACATGTGAATTTAAAAAATTGCTTAATTACATTTAAAATTCATTAATTCACTATCAATTATGGAGTATTATTTTGATGCCACATATGTGTCTAGAAACAGAATCTATTAAAAAAAAATACTAACACTATATAATTTTATAGATTTGGTAGAAAAAAAAAACTATTCTAATTGTTAGAAACATTGTAACTTTAACCAACATTTTGTTTTATTTTTGAGTTGTAATATTAAAAAAAAATTAGTCTAGTTATTATTATTTTTTACAATTTCAGTACTTTTCTTTTTTTTGCTGATTGATGTTGATTAAAATTTATACAATAGACATTAATGTGATTTTAACAATATCTCCTGCAAGATAGTTAACTGCAAGAGAGTTTGCTATTCTATTCAAAAAACAGAGATATGTTTCCAATAGTGAATGTCATAGAAGTGAACCCACATATACAAAGAATTTATAGGGTGGACTGTGCATACCTGGTAGACGATGGAAACTAGTTTGAAACCTCATCATCCCTCCATGCTATCACCAACCACCAAAATTGGAGCTGTAATTCAGTGCAGGTTCATAAGGAATATACATAGCTTTTCGAGACCTGATGTGCTGAGTGCATAAACTCTGAAATTTTGTTTTTGACTTATCAAATTACAGAATAATATAATCGCATTGAATTGAAATTCTAATTTTGTTGAATATTGATTTTGTCTATCAACCTAACATTTCTATTTTTTTTTGCCAAATAAACTTATGAATACTAGATGAGTATCTACGCGATGCGCGGATTTTTGTTTCAAAATATAATTTGTTAAAAAGTTTAGTTATAATTTATTTTATTATATGCTTCTTTTTTATGAATAATGATAATATTTTTTGGCTCTGATTTCTAGTCGTCCTATTATTTTAACCTAATGATGCAACCTCTTTTGACTCTAGTTTACAAATATGTTATAATTATAGAAATGTATTATTACATATTTTGACTATGATAAAAAAGAGTACTTATCAATTATTACATATTTTATTATTGAATAAGAAACTTAAATTTTTAATGATAATTTATTATATATACATTTTCTCTAAAAAATAGTGTATATTTTAATAAATATATAATACATATGTATATATTTTGTCGATAATAACTATGTATCTGATAAATATTTGATCACCAAAAAATGTAAATTGTGTTATATATTTATAAAGTATATATAAATTTAATTAGCATGTAATTAAAAGGTAAATAATTAATTAATCTAATTCTGATTGTATTAAAATAATAAATTATTAATTATAAAATTTAAAATGACAGGTGTTCCTCTCTCTAATGCTGATGTGGCACTCAACTGGAGAGAGTTGACCATTTTTTATATTATAGATTTATGATTTTTTCAACATTTATGATATCAATTTTCTTAGATTTAAATTATAAACTGAGATTTTGAACCCAAAAAAAAAAGTGAAATCATGTTCTCTATTAATTAAGAATTTTGTTTTTGTTTTTATTGACACAAATCATAAAAACTTCTTAGAACTTGGGGTGGTTATATGTTTAGTTTGGATTCTCATATGAAATATTTTTTAATACTGTATGAAAATTTATTTTGAACTTATCAAATTACTGAATTTCAATAATATCACTAATTATGTTTGTTGATTGAAGTTGTGTTTGTAAATTTGTTAATTACACGGTTATACTGAGATTGTACAAAGAATACACATACGTTAAATCAACAAAAAGACTAATTACCAGTTTAGTAAATAATCGATTTAATAAACAACAAAAAGATGAAATCCTATATAATACCATTTTCATCATGCATTTTTTTTCAAGTACAACAGCAAGAACAACATGTTCAATATCAGAAGATCTTCTCATTCACAGCCCTTGCAAGGAGATCTAGTCAAAAGATTTTTGACTGCTCAAAACAAGCTTCCACTCTTTATCCTAGAAGATCTTTTTGATCTTCTAATCAAAATACTGCATAGTATTCATCCAACTATGTCCCTTTATAATACACTAAGAGTTATTTTATCAGCCAATTAATTGACTATATGCTATTGGCAATCTAAAGTTTTGCATTTCACGGATCTGGTGAGGACTCTCCGTGTGAGCACTCTTGATGTGCATGACAACAACGGTATGACACTTAGCAATGCCATTATCATTTCAGCTCTCATGTGTGTAGATACATTGCTTTCATCGATTTTACTGATAGAAAAACGTAATACATTACATTGATAGAAAAATGTACCTCTAACAACAATACATCCATTGACATATGTACCTCAATCTGTACTTCTAATATTGATGAGCCTGCGCATTACTGCGTAGTATTAAAGTAGATTGAAAAGATCGACATTGCACTCTAATTACTAATATCCATATTAAAGTGGAAACAAACCAAAAAAAAAACTAATTTTTGTTATTATATCCTAAAGAGATACATTACACAGAAAGTTTAAGAAACTAATTCATACTTTGTTTAACTTCAATCCAAAGATCTCACTTTATAGATTAAACAAAAAAAATATATGTTTAACTTCAATCCAAAGATCTCACTTTATAGATTAAACAAAAAAAATATAATTTGACGCATTTTTTCTCTTCATCAAAAAGAATGTGTCAATTTGAGAGAAAATTCAAAATGAGTTTTTTTTTATATAGGCCTATCAAACTTTTTTCCTATTTGGGTTGTAATGGAGTTGGGCTTAATAACTTCAAATATAGGTCCCTAATCTGTGACATTAATTTCTTGAAATTATAAATGGAGTTGAAAGAAAATATTTTTTAAATAAATTTATTTTGGTTCAATAGATTATTGGTTAAACATGTAAAAGATAAAAAAAATTTCAATTAGGGAATAATATATACATGTAAGAGAAACAGAAAAAAAAAACTGAATAAGGATAAAATAATTTGTTAAAAAATGCTTAATAATTTTTTTAACATATTAAATTGAATAAGGCAAATTCTCAACATTCAATTAAACTGACATGTGGACGTGGATGCGATTTCTTATAGATAAAAAGATGTACCGGTACTAAGTAGGGGTTATTGGTTCTTGTATTTTGGTGGATTTATAAATCTTCTTTGGATTTGATAAATTTATTGATTTCAAAATCAGCAAAATAGAAAAAAATCAAATCCACTCAAATATCAAAGTTAGACCTTGTGTTTTGATCTTTGTATTTTAGTCATGAAAATTCTTTCAAATTCATTCAAATTCAATTAAAATTCAAATCCTTATAATATTTAGATTTTAAAATGATAGAACCAATAATACTATATTTCATTATGGATTTTAAGATCATAAAACCAATAACACTGTATTTTAATATAAATTTTAAAATACAAGAACCAATAACATCTCCTAAACTTTTTTAAATCTCAAAATATTATTAAGGAAAAAAGATTGGGACATTTATGTAAACATTGATAAACTAAAGTGGCCGATTCGGATAACAAAAACACTGTATTATTCTGAGTTTATCGTGTTCGTCTGTCGCTTACTCAAAAACAGTCAATTCATTTTCTGCCTTAGAAACTATTTCTTTTATCGAATCGACGTTTAACTCAAATCTCCGTCGTTTTGTTTTCAGATTTCTGCTCTTCTCTTCTCTTCTCTTCTCTTTCTCTTCTTCCACCGCCTTTTTTGCTATCTTCTTCCTCCTTCGATTTACGTCGGTGGATCTTTCGTCAAATGATTGGTTTCCCGGCGATTGGGATTTTTGCAGCTCGTGTTCTTAACTATCTCTGAGGTAGAAGAGAAACTCCCGCACTCGTAAACTTTTTTCATGACCTGACTAAAAAAAAATATATCTTATACGGATGAATTTTGAAGGTTTTTTCACGATTTGACATATATAACCGTCGCCAAATTTCAATTTCTGGGATTTCTCTTACGATTTTTTTCTGTTTTTGTTAGAAATTGGATTATCGTAAATGTCAGTATTGAATCCCCTTTGTAATTTAGTTTCCTGATTCAGCCTTGGAGAATTTTTGAATCAAAGCTAATGGGTTAGTGATTTGAATCGAGATTTTATTAATCCGGTTAATTTGATTATTTTCTTTCTATGCTTAGATTCTGAAATTTCTATAAGTCCCAGATAAAGTACTTGTAAACTTCCATTAGTGTGGTGTAATTCTAATTTCTTGTGAAGTTGAATGATTCTATGAATCAGTGTTTGCTTAGTAGGTTAAGAGGAAGCTCAAATTTAGAAATTCTTTTGATGTTATGATCTTTTTAATGTTTCCTCATTTTTGTCTCTCTTACGGTATATAGTATTTGATGATACAGTGAATGATGGATGATGAAAGCTCCGTCGGGGATGTGAGCAGGATCAGTGAAGCCGATGTTGCTGCTCACCTTCATTTCAAAAATGGTCAGCAATCTCTTAAACCGGAGAACGTAGAGATCCATGAAACCAAAGAAGTGCAGGTTCAGAGGGAAGCCGTTTCTCCTGATACCTCGTTTGGTGTGATTGCAGATTTTTTAGATGGTAAGATTGTGAATCAAACGGAGAATGCACCGTGTTCTAGCCAGCAGAACGCAGCAAATGATGGTGCGGGGGACGTGGTTGAGGAGTTGACTGTGAAAACTTGTGATGGATCGAGCATGGCCATAGTTGGTAGATCAAGTAGTAGAGCTAGGTTAGAGATCAACCGTAGTCAGCTTCAACATCGATTTCCGTTAAGCGGCGATTTACCTAGTAGCAGTTCTATGAGAAGTGCAGGCAAATTGTCTCTGCCTGAGGCTTCGAATGGAGAAGAAGAACAGGTTCTTGCTGTTAATGGTGGAGCTAATGAACGAAATCCTGTTCCAGTAGATGCATTGTCCCATGGAGGCATCAAGACGAAGATGTTATCGAAGTCTGGGTTCTCTCAGTTTTTCGTTAAAAAGACATTGAAAGGAAAAGGAGTCACATTCAGAGGACCGCCACATCAAAGATCTAAAGCTAGCAATCTGGATCAGCAAGCTGTAACTAGTTCTTCTGGTAGCCCTTTAGTGATATCGAATACTCCGGCAAAGGTTTCTAGCAGCATCCCTTTGGCGGCGGCTAATGATGTGTTTCCTTGCTTGCCTGCCAAAGCCAATAATCCGTCTTCTTGTGCTAACCCGTCTTGTGCTAACCCTTCAGATATACATAGAGGTTGTGGTGATGAAGGTCTAAGTATGAGAGAATGGTTGAAGTCAGAGCGTCAGGAAGTTAACAAAGCAGAGTGTTTGTATATCTTTAGGCAGATTGTGGGTCATGTAGAGGATGCTCATTCTCAAGGAGTTGTTTTATGTGACATACGGCCATCTTCATTCAAAATTCTCAAGGAAAATGTGGTCAAGTATGTGGGTTCAGGTTTTCAGCAACAGTCTTTCGACGGCGATATGAACAAAAGTACATTAAGTCAACTCGAAAACCCTCTGGTTAGAAAGCGGTCAGGAGATTCTGGATTTTCTGCTAGTCCCTTTTTCTCTGCAAAGAAGCAGAAATCAGGCGGAACAAGCTCTAGACAGTGGCCTATGTTTCAACGAGCTGGCGGAGTCAATATCCAAACTGGGAATGATGATGCGCAGGAACTTCATTTCAGATCCAGTCAAGCACAAAGTAGTACAGCTGCGCATACTTTTACTTCAATGAATGAGCAGGTGGAAGAGAAATGGTATGCGAGTCCTGAGGAGCTCAGGGGCGAAACTCGTTCAGTCTCTTCAGACATCTATAGTCTGGGTATTCTTCTTTTTGAGGTATGGAGAAACGCACTTATGAAATGTGAAACCGGAGACCTTTACTGTTGAGATAATACTCGAAGTTTTCTGATGGAATAATGTCTTCAACTAATGCATCTTTGTATAAACTGGGCCGTAACTTTCGGCATCTGTAATTCTTGCGTTACTTTTGTCAATAGTAAAGTTACGACTCCAGATTGCATTTGATTAATAGGCAATGTGGCCTGAATAACAAGTGCGTAATTATGGATAGTCACATAGGTTTGGATAGTGTTGCATGTTCGTTTCTAGTCTACGTTATAGTTAATTCTTTGGCTCTTAGATTAATCTATTTCTTGATTTGACTGTTCCTCGGTCTAACAGATCATTCTCATTGATATTCTGATTTGGGTTCTTGCATCAGCTGCTTAGTCAATTTCAATGTGAACGAGCTCGTGAGGCTGCAATGTCTGATATCCGTCACCGGATTCTTCCTCCCGAATTTCTGTCAGAAAATACAATGGAAGCTGGATTCTGTCACTGGTTACTTCATCCAGAACCTTCATGCCGACCATCAACCAGGCAATGAAAACTTTTTAGGCGTAGCTACATTAATTTTCAAGTTATTGAACTTTTGCATGCTTAATTCTGTAGAATGTTATGGGCCATAATTCCCAACTGGGGATATTGGAAGGTAGTCTCGGTGGATATTACACAGGAAATGTAAAAATAAACTAGACGTGCAGGTCTGTTCTCCTGGCTGTAAACACAGGGGAGATTGTCACGTTAAGTTACAGATAGGATTATTAGGCTCTGCTCTGAAAATATAGTGTTTGTAGTAATCCTGTCATGTTGCGTTGATTTGATATCATGAGTTGGCGTAATCTCTAAATTTTGTAAGTTCGACGTTGTTCTGTATCAGGGACATCTTGCAGTCTGAGGTGGTTAATGGGGCTCCAGATTTGCAGGCTGAAGGCATATTATTATCTATTGAACAAGAGGACACGGAGTCTGAACTGTTGCAGCATTTCCTTGTTTTGTCTGAAGAGCAAAGGCAAAAGCAGGCTGGCAAGTTGATGGAAGAAGTTGTATCCTTAGAAGCAGATATTGAAGAGATTGTCAGAAGACGTTGTGCCATAAGGCCTCTGTCTCTGGAAGGAGCTTCTAGCTCATCGCCTGCTTCAAGTGTTCCTGAAATGAGACTAATCAGGAACATTAAACAGCTTGAAAGCGCTTATTTCGCAGCAAGGATCGATGCACGTCTCCCTGAAGCACGTTATAGGTTACGCTCGGATAGAGATCTGCTAAGAAATCATGATAATGTCATATTCGAACTAGAAAATAGCGAGACTTGGAGCTCAGATGATCGTGTTGGAGCTTTCTTTGATGGGTTATGCAAATATGCTCGATATACCAAGTTTGAAACTCGGGGGGTACTGAGGACCGGGGAGTTAAACAACACTTCAAATGTGATCTGTTCTCTGGGTTTTGATCGAGACGAGGAGTATTTCGCGACGGCTGGTGTGTCAAAGAAAATTAAGATATTCGAGTTCAATTCCTTATTCAACGAATCTGTCGACATTCATTATCCAGCTGTAGAAATGGCAAATAGATCAAAGCTTAGCGGCGTTTGCTGGAACAACTATATTAGGAACTACCTAGCTTCCTCTGATTATGATGGTATCGTCAAGGTACTTGATGCTTTGAAGTTTTATTTAGATTGGTTATCACTTCGTTGCGCGTTCATTTCCTTCGGTCTAATGAATTCAAATGTACTATGATGGATCCAGTTATGGGATGTGACAACAGGACAAGCCATTTCACATTTCATAGAGCACGAGAAGAGGGCTTGGTCTGTTGACTTCTCTGAAGCTTCTCCGACAAAATTAGCCAGTGGAAGCGATGATTGTTCTGTGAAGCTATGGAACATCAATGAGGTATACTCATCTTTACCCCTTATATGCATAGGCACAATATGCTGGATTCTGTCATTTTAATAGCTACTTATACTGAGATCTCTGGCATATATACACATGAATGAATTGCACCTGGGGCCAAAAATTCAGCCTTGTAGCTAATACACAATTTTTCTTGCATGAATGTGCAGAGGAACTGCTTAGGGACAATCAGGAACATTGCAAACGTTTGTTGTGTGCAATTTTCTCCAGAGTCCTCTCATCTGCTAGCCTTTGGATCATCAGATTTCAGAACCTACTGCTACGATCTACGGAATTTAAGAACTCCTTGGTGCATACTGTCAGGGCACAACAAAGCAGTTAGCTACGCGAAATTCTTGGATAGTGAAACCCTTGTCACAGCGTCAACTGATAACACGTTAAAGCTTTGGGATCTTAAGAAAACCACTCACGGTGGCCTCTCAACAAATGCTTGCAGCTTAACTTTCGGTGGCCATACAAACGAGAAGGTAGCTAATGCTGACACTTTAGTTTAAGTTAATCCTTATAATGTTCCTCTTTTTTGCTTTAAGTTTGATTTGTCATTTTCCTGCCTTTCTCAGAACTTCGTTGGTTTGTCTACTGCTGATGGATATATAGCGTGTGGCTCTGAGACAAATGAGGTATGCCCTTAAAAACTTGGGAACACATTGAAATTCCTATAGGACTTTTTGCTGTGAATCTCTCTTTCTATTATCCTTTTATAAGCATTACCAAAGGTTGATAGTTTGATTCTCAATTTAATTTATATGCTCCAGAGTTGACATATTCCCGATACAATTAGTTACAGTTCCATTGCTACTAACATTAGTATATTAGCTGGAGCGGTGTCAAATAGTTTCGTAATTTTATCTGTTTAGTGATCTCTCTGATTGAGACAAATGGTGTTCCTTTTTGTTTTGTTTTGTCTTTGCTCAGGTTTATGCGTATCACCGGTCTCTTCCTATGCCCATTACCTCGTACAAGTTTGGCTCCATTGATCCTATATCAGGTAAGGAGATTGAAGAGGACAACAACCTATTTGTTTCAAGCGTTTGCTGGAGGAAAAGATCGAACATGGTTGTTTCAGCTAGCTCAAATGGGTCTATCAAAGTTCTACAGTTGGTTTAAAATCACATATACCGAAGAAGCCGAGGTAATAATTATTCACCTGAAGCTCCTCTTTTGGTTGAGGGTAAAAAAAAAAAAAGTTCCCATCAGCCCAAGACTCAGACAAAACAGTCCTTAGTGAACAAGCTTTCAACACACAAGAGATTTGATGAAGAGTTGAATCTAATGTACAGTGTTTGAAGTTTCCCTCAAAAGGGGTAAAGGAAAGAGATAATAGAAGAACACAAATGGCAGCAAAATGTTTGGTTAATCTCATTTAATACTTGCGGTTGAAGTTTGATCAGCGGTTAGGTGGTTAGACCGCATATACGTAGTAGTAAGGTAAGACCTTTTCTTTCTAATGTATTTTGTTAATTTTTTTATTTGCCTCTTATAAGTTATGAAACCAAATTTCACTTTTGTGATTGTAAAGTTGCTTCCCTATAGAGAGAGTATAGACCGTAATCGTCTGTGATGTATATATATAGTTGATATGAGTTTTTTACACGAAAAAAGTCATTTATGTTTTTGGTTACAACGAAAAGTGTGTATTCGTTTTGGCGCCAACATGTGTCATTGGCTTAACACTAGTTCATATCAACTCGTCTTCAAGACTCATGTAATGAATGATACGTTTGTTATTGACAAAAGTAAATCTCCAAAATGCTTAATAAGGTTTTCAACTTGTCTTGCTCACTGAAGCTGCTCCATCGTGGCTATGGTCTTCACTTGGTATCGAGAACTTCTTCACTTTCTGAGACATAGACAACAACAACAACAGAAAATGAGTGAAAGAAAGAAAATGGTTCAACAAAATTACAAAGGCGAAACCATAACAGAACATTTAAAAGTGGAAAGTAGGACTTTTGATCAAACCCATTTTCGTTAAATGGCTATGGAAGTAGATAGGACCACAGTTGTAAATTTTAAATTTTGGATGAACATACAAGCTTGGGTTGATTCTATTAATAAATTACCATAACAATGTATCATCTTATTATCACAAAACCTTACAAAACCCATACTATTAATAGATCAAGCACTCGCATAGACTTAAGAATCACAAAGAGGAATTCACAGTGAAGCATGAATCTCTCTCTCTCTATCTCTCACTCACATAATTCATCGTTTTCGTTACAAAATACTGATCCAATAGCTCAAAATAACAAATCATTACACTCCTTACAAAAAAAGTAAGCTTAAAATTGATTTTTTTCTATAACAATTCATTTCCAAAGATAAAACAGAGAAAACGGGAAATCTCATGTACTGTGCAGTTTCATAATCCAAAATCGCATTTTTTTACCATATTAATCTCTAGATTAAACTAAAAATGCAAACAATTTTTCAATCGGAGATCTGGAAATTTACCTTGGAGAGAACACACTCTCTGAGAGATTGCATGAGACGAACGCACTTCTCTTGATCGAACGGCGATTCCGAAACGCAGTTGAGAAGATTCACAGCTTCTTGGCCGCAAATTGGTTGGGGAAGCTTTTTCTCCATGGAAGGAATAATTTAATTAATAAACCCTAAAGTTAAAAGGTTTCTGCAAATAAAACCAAACGGAGAAGAAGACACGAGAGACTACAGAACTACACTATACAAAGTCTTACTGGGCCAATAATTGGGCCCATATTTTATTTAACTTAAACCCTTTTTCCAAATTCAGTCTGTTTTACAAAACCCATCGCCGTCGCTTAAGACGTCCTCCTCCGTTATCCCAGTAACCAAACAACCCCTCATCGTCGCCGTGAACGCTCGATTTTCTACAAAGCTATTGGATCTCCTATGATCTCGATCTGTTTCTAGTCAAGTTTAATCGCTTCACTAACGCAAGAGTGAGTCTCCGTTTTCGGTTTCCTCAATTGAATGTTCTGAGATTAACGCAAGTAACATGATAAAAACTCTTTGCCTCTCATTTTAGTGAATTCCAATAAACTTCCCCATTTCTTTTTGTTTTTGCTTGAGGAGTTTGAGTGGAAAGGCTTAAGCTTTCATTTCATATCATTTGCTCACTTGGTGCGTAGTTTTAATGGTGTTTTCTCCATGGAAAAATGTCGTAATTAAGCTTGTTTGTTTGGTTTAAAAGTTCAAGTATAAATACTAGAACTTGGATCATTGGTTCTTATGCTGCTTAGATCTCTATAAAATTTGCATATGTATCATCATTTCAGCCTTTAATTTATCAGCTTTTCTCATATGCTTACTGATGTCTCAAAGAGTTTATAAATTTTGAGGTTTTTTCTTTCTCATTTTGATTTCAGTCTTAGGTTTGCAAAAATGGCGTTTGCTAGAGCAGCGAGACGACCCCTTGGAGTGTTTTTCTATAGTGCAAGTGGTAGATTTAGTTCTGGAAATGAGTATTCTACTGTGACAAGCAAATTAGAAAGTCTATCACAGTACAAGAGCTCTGTATTGCCTGGATACGCGAGCCCTGTTCGTGGTTTCGGCAATTTCTTGCGTGGTTTTAGCTCGGAGGCTCCTGCTGTAGCTGACCAGATGAGTCTCATCAAGCAGCTGAGGCAAAGAACAAGTGCTCCCATTAAGGATGTTAAGGCTTCTCTAGTTGAATGCAACTGGGACCTTGGTAAGAATCGGTTTTGAGGCTTTTGTTGTTTCTGCAGCTTTGTTTTCTTTTTTCTTGTGATCTTTAAAAATGGGTGTTTTGGATTTTTGACACAGAGGCTGCTCAGAAGGATTTGAGAAAGAGAGGGAAAGTTTTGGCTTCGAAGAAGTCATCACGGACAGCTGCAGAGGGAATGCTTGCCGTTGCCCAAAACGAAGGAAAAGTTGCGGTTATCGAACTAAACTGTGAGACAGACTTTGTTGCTAGGAACGACATTTTCCAGTACTTGGTTAGTGCCATGGCGATTTCTCATAGGTTGCTGATGAATGATAAGCTTTTCCACTTATTCTTTACTGTTCCTTTTCTTCTAAAGTTGACATTTCTTGCAGGCTTTAGCTATGGCAAAACATGCTTTGCTGATTGATAATACTTCTCAGCAAGTTTCTGGTGTCTTTCATTTTGGGCCTGAGCTTTTTGAGGTCAGTAGTTTCATGTACTCTCTGGTTTTCTCTTGTGTCCTTAACATCACAGTCTGCACCATCTTTAGATATTGATATTCAGTTCCCATTTCTAATGCCATTTCAGGAGTTGAAGCTGAATCTCGATCATCCGAAAGTGAATGGTGAAACCACGGTTTCAAACGCCGTTACAGAAGTAGCCGCGATAATGGGAGAGAATGTCAAGTTTAGGAGAGGTTTCTTGCTGTCGAAATCTTCAGCAGGCGTCCTCTCTGCATATCTCCACACATGTCCCCAACCAGGTAACAGATTGTTTCATGTTGAATATAGTTCCCGTTCTAATCTATTTTCATGTTATAATTCTTACTTCCTTTTGTTATATGATATGAAAATAGGGTTGGGTCGTATAGCTGGGATTGTATCTCTCGAGGTAGAAGGTGAAACTACTCAACTAGAGGCTCTTCAGCGTGTAGGCTCAGAACTGGCCATGCATGTTGTTGCAGCAAAGCCTTTGTTTCTAAGCAAAGACCTTGTTTCTTCAGAAGCTATAGCAAATGAACGCGAGATTCTAAAGTCTCAGGTCAGTTTTTTCACTTGTAAACAGAAGTTCATACACGAGTTTGAAAAAGTTAGTCTTTATTTAACAACATATGGTACATGACAGGCAGAGAGTACAGCCAAGTCTCAGATGGCTGTAGAGAAGATGGTGGAAGGCCGTCTCCGTAAATATTTTGAAGAAGTTGCTCTCATGGAGCAGAAGTTTATAATGAATGATGCTATAAACATTAAGGTATATATGAGGATTTGTCTCTTAACACCCTGTGATTATATCTGCATCACTTGGTGAATATTGAAATCTTCCATGCTATTCCACAGACACTGGTGGATAATCTGTCCAAGGAAGTGGGTTCTCCAGTGAAGGTTGCCAATTTTCTGAGAGTTGAGGTTGGAGAAGGAATCGAAAAGTAAGTATAACACAGTGGCGTGTATATGGTATTGTATGGGTTTATACATAAGATTAGTTGTTAACGAGTGTGTATATATTTTGTTTTTGAAGGCTTGAAGCATCTGACGAACCGGTTGCTCAAACTGCTTGAAGATGTGATGAATGTAGTTTTGAGCGCATGAAAGACCATATGGTGTTGTTAGATTTAGAGGCTTCAAAGACATTAGGTTCGAGTCCCGATCACTCATGTCGTGTTTCATCGACTTTCCCATATTTTTGTTGCTATAAAAACGTGAGTTTTGCCTCACAATATGACAAAATATCAAATCCTTGTGATGAATCTGTGTGACAAAACCATGTCTCGTTCATTGTACAAAGACCTTCACTTCTCTCTCCACTTACCCTTATTGGTTGCGAGTGTGGTCATGATTGATATATTAAGGTACTCAAATGCCAACGGTCGAATTGAATAATTCAAAGATGAAACCGGTCACTACTGGAGTATTCGAATTCAACGGTTAAGATCAATGATATGTGATCGGTTCATATCATAAGCTGTATTGTATACGAGAGAAACAGTGAATAGATCTTTCTTCCACTAATCACTCTCTCTTTCTCTTGATTTTCTGGTTATTTCATATATTTGTTCTATCTAAAAATAGAAACTTCTCTTTGGACACATTTACTCTGTTCTTCGTTCTCTGAATATTTAAAAGAATTCTTCGTTCTCTGAATATTTAAAAGAATTGTCCGAAGCAATCCTTTAACGGTCGAAGACATAAATTGAATGTTTAAACTTAATACTAGGTTTTTAATTCGTGCTACGTGTGAGTTTGTATTAATAATTTGATTTATTTTTTTGGGTTAATATCGTGATAAATTATCAAAGCTATAATATATATACAAAAATTTTCTTTTATAAAAAATAAAAATAAAAAATAATATGTAGTTTTTCCTATTTTTTGTTTATAAAATTATAAATCTTATTAAGTAAAATCATAGTAATGAAACCTAACGAATTATCCAACTTCGACGTGCATAGATTTGATTTAGAAAATAATTTTCTTACTAATTTTTTGGTCTTTCATTTTGTGTCTTTATGATTTATATAGTTCTTCTTTTAATGTTTATATGTTTGAATATTTAGATTTTTATTAAATATCTTACTCATATTGTGTACCTATACACATATAACATATGACATATGTTGACTCGGATTTACTTTTGTTAGTAAGCTACACTAATCGTGTAAAGCAACTTTTTGCTTTTCCACCAGATTTTCTACGAATTTTAGGTTATAACTCTATTCAGTTTATAAGATCTGTTTTATTTGGAGTCCACTATTTGCTAATTTTTGTTTTTAAACATGTAAGATGGTGTGGAGACTTCACTTTATCACTGTTTTTTTTTTTATCTTTTCTGTTTTTTATTTATATTTTGATTTGAATAATTTATCTAGATATATTTTAATTTGAATTTGATTTATAACATTTTCAAATTTTATTATTTAAATAACATTTTAAAATTTGATTATTTAAATAAAATTTTAGAGGATGTTGCTCATGTGTTGTTCATGTTGGCTAAGTTATAAGCATTAACTATGTATAAAAATCAGATTTTTTACTCATTATATTTTGAAAGTAAAATTACTTGTGTAGTATATTTCTTTGGTAGTTTTTAAATCAGACCCATCAAGGATATTAGTCTTTGTAAATTTAAATAATATGTTTAATTTTAAAACTTGTATAACCTACTATAACTTTATATGCTTATTCATAGTCAACACCAATATTTTAGAACTCATGAATTTTCTGTAACTAAATTTCAAACTAATTTTCTTCTTATATCTTGTTTTTTGTTATTTTAAATATCTTTGATGGTAATTTTAAATTTTATTTTAATTAACTAATTTTTTGCATATTTGATATACTTCAAACATATATATATATATTTTAATTAATTATTGATTTTCCTAATAGGTAGCATATATATCAATTTAATATATTTAACATAAATGTTTTTATTTGTTAAATTTACTTTCTAAAATTAATTAAAATGCTATTTTGACATGCTATAGCTGGTTATTCTAAACTTTATATGAACTTCTCTTAAAAGCTTATAACATCATTTGATTTTTTTAGTTAAATTATTTTTTTGCTAATTAGCCTAAATATCAAGCTAATTTTACTTTTTACTACTTTTTCTTTTGATAATTTACATCTATTGATATCGATTTATACTTTATTTTAACAAGCAATTTTTTTGAAAATATTTATTGTTATTTAAATGTTTTTATATAGATTTCTTAAATAGTTATTCAGATATCAAGTCAAAAATTTTAGGTGTTTATTAAAAAATTTAGTATTTTGTAAAACTTAATTTTTGTTTTAATTTTTTAGTTAATTAATTTCTTAATATTGAATTCTTTAATAATTAGCTCAAATATTTATATTATCTTTGTTAGTTAAGTTTTTAATATTACTTAAGTTTTTTATTCTGTTACTTATTCTGTTTATATTGATTTTGTCAAATAAATAACATAGATATCAAGTTAATATTTTTTTTTTGTTAACTGAACTTTTTCGATATGGACTTTTATTTTAATTGTATTGACATGTTGCAAAAAATAATTTATGTTTAGTTTTTTTGTTATTTAAAATTTTTTATATTGTTTTTTTCAGTAATTAGCATAAAATATTTTTTTTGTTAGTTAAGCTTTTTGTGTTAATGTTCTAAACAATTACACTAAATATCAAGTTTTAGATAACTTTTTCTTTTATTAATTTAACATGAATATTTTTTTGGTATTATTGGTATTTTTAAATAACAATTTTATATGTTCATATAAAAATTTAATCGTAATATTTTTTCCATATAAATTAATCATTTAAAATATATATGCTAAATGTTTTCTTTTCTAAATTTAACTTTTTGGTTATTGATTTACATATTTATTTTTGTTAGTTTAGTTTTTGTGACAATGAATGTTTATTTTATTGTGATAAAGATATATATTTGGATTTTTTATATAATTTTCTTTTATCTTTTTGTTATTTTTTTATCTTAATTTTTCATTCTACTATGATAATTTTATATTTTGGTATGTTTAAATTATTTAAATTATTTGGTTTTAAATACATTTTTTAATTATTTTTATATATTGACTTGATGATAGGAAAAGAATAGGCCTAATAAATAATTTGTTTATTTTATTTTGTTAAATGATATATATTTGGATTTTTAATATAATTTTATTTTATCTTTTTAGTTATTTAGTTTTTTATCTTAATTTTCTATTCTACTATGATAAATTTATATTTTGGCATGTTTAGTTTATTTAAATTATTAGGTTTTAAATACAGTTTTTAATCATTTTAAGAAATTGACTTGATATCTCTAATTTTGGCATGATTAAAATAATTTAATTATGGTTTTAAATACAGTTTTAAGTTATTTGGTTCAATATATATGATTTTTTTTTCATAATATATTTATATTTTAATTTACTTTTTATTATTAATAGAAAAATAAGATCTTTTTCTAAAAAAAATTTTATTAATAACTAACTTAAAATTTAGAAACTTTCATAATAACAACAAAAATGAAATTTAATAAAACTTATAAATTTTCTTTATAACAGTTAAAACGAATTAATTATTTTTAATATATAATATATAATTAACTAAAGATAATGATGATGTGTACCAATAGAATTAAATTTTTAAATCCTATGTGGATATCATTAGAAGCATTTAGCATCAACTTTTATTAGTAATAGATAATCAATTTTAGATATATATTAAGTTTTCATTTGCTTAGAATGATTTGTTTTTCTTTCTAATAACTTCATCGTTTATTTATATTTTGAATATGTTAAGAATATATAATAAAGTATTTAAAGTTAATCTCATAAAATGTTAGTAAATGAATCTATACTATAAAAGAAATATGAAAAATACGAAGTATTAGATAATATATTTTAATAACAATATATACTTAATATTCAAAAACAATTATTGAATATCTATTTTGTGATAGTTTTTAAAATTATTAAAAATATTTATGTTTCTTATTTAAGAGTGTTTTCTTATTTCTAATTAATATTATAAGTTATTATTATAAATACAGTTATACAAATATATAAATAAAAATTATTTAATATTTTGAACCTAAAAAAGTTAGAAGAAAAAAAAAATAATATTATAATAAAATTTAAAACAATTTCTTTATAAATTATTAATTATTTGATAATTTATTTTATTCAAACTTAATCCATTAATAATTTTTAAATTAATAAGATATCAAAGTCATAATACATTTATTTATAAAGTTTTTAATGCAGCTGTATAAATTATAATTATAAATCAATTATTTAAGCTCATCAAAATATAAATTAACGGCGTTGCTATTGTGTAAATCTGCGCCATGAACAAATACGACCTGTTAGAAAAAATCATCCCTATCTATGTTGTGCTTAGAGAGTTTCTCTAATTAATTTTTGTTATATAGTACTTCTCTAATTTGCAATATATCAATTTAATATATTCCATATATACAAAGTATAACATATTTCACATTTCCTTATCAATAAACTATTTATCACATATATAGTTAATATTCATATAATATGTAAATACATATTATATATTTATTCAAATACACAACATCCTTTAAAATATTTTAAATATACGATCAAATAAATTGTAACTACACTTTTTAACAAATTATATTGTGAAAAAAATCTCGCGCGTCGTGCGGGTACTCATCTAATAGAGTCAATATTGTCTAATAAAGTACTATTCAACTGTTCAATGGTTATTTATACTAATAAGAGGTTATAACTTGTAAATATGTTGAAAACATGTAAACTTCAAAAGCATTACACCATTTATTATGGAGGTGGTTATAATTGCAAAAGCTTTGTAATATATTTATAAACCAGGTTCGAACCGGTGACCTTTCGATCTGCAGTCGAATGCTCTACCACTGAGCTATGGACCCTTTTGTCTTTATTAGAAATTTAACTACATTTAATAATTACGACTTGTTAAGAGACTGTTTTTTTTGTGGTGCAAATGTAAAAATGATTGTATTGTTTCTTAATTTTTTGCATGTCATCTTTGTATAAGAGTCACGCGAATAAGATTTTATATTATTAAGAAACCTTAATGTTATTGGTAAAGAAAATTATAAATTAAAATTTGTTGCTCAGGTTGTAAATGTTTTTCCATCGAAGTTTAAAGTTTTTATTTTTTCTTGTCGATCAAACATCAAATTATCATAAAACACCTTATTAATTATCTAAATGGGAGAAAATATATTTAACGCTATAAAAGCAAGGTTAGTTTTAAAAAGCAAGAAATAAGAGAGACAGAAAGAATACCAAACATATCTCAAAGCACATAAAACTCATCTAAAATTTGGGAGAGATAAGACCACATGTTTAAAGAATTTATAATCTTTATCGACTATGCATAACCTCTCAAAAATCCTAATAATATATTTGTTTGAAAAACGATACTCGACTAGTTTATGATAAACACTATCATTTTGTGTAAAGTGTTTATTTCTTTAATTTGTCTGAAGTGTTCGTTTCTTTTATATTACTATATAATTTGGAAACATAGTAAAATCATTAAAGAAGTTTCGATATTTCTGAAAGATGCATGTTTGACCCATTAATTAACTTTTCAAAATCGTTAGTCAAAAATATAAATCTGCAAAATATTAATGTATGATTTCAATAGTTTTTCATCTATAAATACACGTAATGTATCAAAAATATGACAAAACAAACTAAATAAAAATTGTCAAAAGAAGAAAAACTAAACTTGTTTAGTAAATCATTGAGCAATATCAAAGATATCACTAATTCATTAAAAAGGTATTATGCTAATTATCTAATTTTATGATTTTCATTTTATCATTAGTTATGATTTTTATCATTTTATAATTTATATAAACTAGGTTTATTTTTTTTGTATATCATATAAACAATTGTTCAACCAAATAAACTGAAAATATGTAAATTCATTAATTAAAATACACTTTTCTGAATTGTATGTTAATACATTAGTGGCAAATCCATACGATGGTCAGATTTAGCATACATAAAAATGCAACTGCAAATATTATTCTCATTTAAAAGAGTTACAAAGTTTGATGTAGTTATTTTGAGTTACAATATCATCTAAATAAAAATGATTCAGGATTTGGTGAGCTTTTGGATTAGGATCATATATTGGAACTTGAAGTTCGAAACCAGTGATAAGAATTAATGGCAACTAAATTAGTTATGAATGCACAACATGAATCTTCAGGTATACAATTTTGAACTCAAGTTTAGTTTTTTATTATTCAGAGATGTTTATTAATGGTTATGTTTTTATTTTCTCAGTTGATGAAACCAACAACTATTTGTATGATGAGTTATGGAAGTTGTGTGGTGGATCTTTGTTTGATCTTCCAAAAATTGGAGAAAACGTATATTACTTTCCTCAAGGGCATATAGAATATGTAAGCTTCTTTCGATTTATCTTTTTATGTTCTCTTTCTCCTCTATTATAAATTTGTAAAACAATTAGTGCAACTCGATGGTTTTTTCAGCTTGAGGCATATTCTTAAGATGACTTGGGTGAAATACCACCAATTTTTGATATTCCTTCAAAAATTCGATGCAATGTTATTGACATTCAGTGTAAGATATGTTTATCTGATATTGATGTTTATGTTTTAGAAAATATACATGAAATATACTGACATATATTTTATATAATATTAGTTTTATATGTATAATTTAATCAAAAATAAGAAACTTGTTACTTTATTTATATTTGGTATTAGGTGGAGAATGATACAGATGATATTTATGCAAAAATTAGCTTGTTGCCGGATACAGCTGTAAGTGCCAAATTTTAAAAAATTATTTATAAATTGGTAATAATTCTTTTTATTAATCTCTTTAAATAATTTTTCTAATTGCTAATTTTATAGGAATGTGGAATTTCTAGTCTTAATGGCAATAAAAAAAACAGAAAATCTACTATTTCACCAAAGTTTTAACTGCTTCAGATGTAAATCCACACGGGGGATTTTCAATATTAAAAAGACATGCCGATGAATGTCTTCCTCCGCTGGTATTTTCACTTAGTTTCTTAACCGAATAAATTTATATACGACTCGATTTGTGAACTTTTATATGTCTTTTTGCTTTGAAATTTTCTAGGATATGTCTCAGCCAACACCGACTCAAGAAATAGTTGCTAAAGATCTTCACGATTATGAATGGAGATTTAAACATACTTTTAGAGGTAATGAATAATTTTATATCAAACTCTGTGATTAATGATTACTGATCTTCATTTATTTATAAACAATCAAATAGGTACACCAAAAAGACATATTTTTACAACTGGTTGGAGTGCATTCGCAAGAGGAAAAAAATTGGTCATGGGAGACTCTTTTGTGTTCCTTAGGTATATATGGTTTGTCATTTTATATTTTTTTGTTTTTGTTTTAGATTTTGAACTTACTATTTTCTTATTCAAGAGGAGAGAATGGGGAGTCACGAGTTGGAATACGAAGAGCAGCGCATCAACAAGACAATATACCTTCATCGATAATTTCAAAACAGAGTATGCACCATGGAATTATTGTTTCTGCAATGAATGCTATCAATACCAAATGCATGTTCAATGTGTTCTGTAAGCCAAGGTATAAAAATCATTTCATTATTCTACTTATTACATCATATTATCAACAAATATGCTTATATTTTTTTTTGATATAATTATGTAAGATCAAGCCAATTCATCGTTAATTTTGAAAAATATATTGAAGCAATGAATAAAAAGTTTAAAGTAGATTCGAATTTTACTATGCGGTTCGAAGATGCTAATTTTACTGAAATAAGGTAAAACTTAAATACCTATCTTTTGTTATTTGTTTCAAAAATATGATTACAAAATTTTGTTTCTTTTTCATTGCAAAAGATACACGGAGAAGATCATAAACAATACAAATTATTCCTTTCATTGGAGAGATTCTGACTGGCGAAGCTTAGAAGTAAGATTCTTCACACCTTGAGTTTCTTATTACAATAATAACATTCACTAACTCTGTTTTTGAAGGTGAAATGGGATGTGGCTGCATCAATTCCAAGACCTGATAAGGTTTCTCCATGGGAAATCGAGCCTTTGGCACCTTCATCTAACATTATCCAATCGCATCTTAAGAATAAACGATCACGTCATGTTGATGAAATTAGTAAGAAAACACTATTTAATAAGCTAAATCCTCTTTGTGAGATCGTTCTCATTATATTTTTATTTTTATGTTTAGATATGTTGATTCCTACACTGACTCAAGGACAAGAAATCGGACAATCAAGCATGAACTCTCCAATGAGTATTTCTCAGCTTAGTAATCACCATGCAACTAATTATTCCAAGATTTCGTCTAGTTGGCCAATGAACTACTCAGTTCCTAGCATATCTAAGCCGGACAGTAACGACCAAATGGTTATGTCTGCGAATGAAAATATAACCATTGATGCAACAAGTGGTTACAAATTGTTTGGAGTTGATCTCACGACTCCAACAGAAACAAAAGATCTTATAGAACAAATTGACTTATACCAAAAAGTAAAAATTTCCAAAATCTCCGAAGAAGAAAAGATTGAACAAATCCAAACTCTGACATCTTCAAAAGATATCCAAAGCCAGCAAATCAATTCTACTAGAAGTCATATCAAGGTATAGCAAAATTTATCAATTTCTCATTCTTTCCATATTAGTCAGTTTTATAAAGTGTTTTTATATTGTAGATCTAGAGAACATGAGTCTGATTAGAAAATCAAATACAAAGATAAAATTGATTTTTATATATACTAGCATTTTTAATTTGTATCATGATACATTAGATAAAACTTTAATTAGGAACTTGTATAAAAGTTCAAAATAGATGGAGACGCTTTTTATTAGCCCATACATTCTTGATATTGTTATTGAACAGGTTCAAATACAAGGTGTAGCTATAGGAAGAGCTGTGGATTTAACTGTTCTTGATGGATATAACCAGTTAATCGATGAACTAGAAAAACTTTTTGATCTCAAAGACGAGCTGCGTATGGGCAATCAATGGGAAATAGTTTTTGCAGATGATGAAGGAGATATGATGCTTGTTGGAGATGATCCATGGATGTAAGTTTCTCTTTATTTATATTTCTCTCTCTTAAAGTTTAAAAAAGAATTTAATGAGAATGTTTTTTTTGTATGTAGCGAGTTTTGCAATGTTGTGAAGAAAATATTCATACTCTCAAAAAATGAAGTCAAGATAATGGGATCTAAGAACAAATTCTCTGAAGGTGGCTCAACATCAACAACAACAACTTCAACATGTCTTGACTTATCACCAAACGCCAAAATAAATCACAACTTCTTAAATTAATTTTATTTTCTATCTATTTGCTTTCATCTCAATATAAATGCATTTAAGTGTTGTCGTGTTTTTCTGTTTTGTTTGTGAAAAATTTATGTTGAGAACTTAAAAGTGTTTCTTTTTTTCGAGTTTTATAATGTTTAGTGTTTTCTTTATAAGAAAGGTTGTTGTTTCGTAATGTAATAAAATAAATGGTGGAAATATGCATTACATAAAAGTATACTTTAGGACATTTTGGAATTTGATCTTTGCTGTTTTTGTGTGGCGTTGAAGCTTCAAGTGCAATGAATGTCTTATCTGTCATTTTTATGTTGAAATTGTTATTATTGTTTGTGTCTATAATATATTTGAATTAATAGATGTTTTATCATTCATCAATAAACCAAAATAAAATAAAATAAAACCTTATTGTCTTGTTATACTATTTTTTTATTTGTTCACAAATCATAATGCAGCTTTGTTATCTTAAAATTAAATATTTTTAGCGTAATATATGTTTGATTGTTTTAATTAATGCTTGAAAATGGTTTCATTCAATATATTGAAGATCGTATTTTGTGCTCTTTAGTGGATTATTAATCATAATACCAAAATAATATGAAAAATATGAAGTATTAGATAATATATTTTAATAACAATATAAACTTAATATCCAAAAACAATTATTAAATATCTATTCTAATTAATATCATAAGTTATTATTATAAAACAATTATACAAATATAAAAAGAACAATTATTTGATATTTTGAACCTAAAAAAGTTAGAAGAAAAATGTATACAATATTATAATAAACTTTAAAACAATTTCTTTATAAACTAATAAATATTTATTAATTTATTTTATTCAAACTTGCTCTATTAATAATTTTTAAATTAATAAGATATCAAAGTCCTAATATATTTATCTATAAAATGTTTAATGCAATTATAAATCAATTATTTAAGCTCATAAAAATATAAAATGATGGCGTTACTATTGTGTAAATCTGTGCCGTGAACAAATCCTATATGTTAAAAATTGTCATCTCTACCTATGTTGTGTTTGAAGAGTTTCTCTAATTAATTTTTGTTATATAGTATTTCTCTGATTTACAGTATATCTATTTAATATATTCTATATATATAAGGTATAACTTATTTCATATTTCCTTATCAATAAACTATTTATCACATATTTAGTTAATATCCACATAATATGTAATTATATATTGTATGTTTATTCAAATACACAATATTTTTTAAAAAAATTTAAATATACGATAAAATAAATTGTAACTACACTTTTTAATAAATTATGTTGTGAAAAAAATCTAGATGAGTACCCGCCTCGATGCGCGGATTTTGTTTTCACAATATAATTGGTTAAAAAGTATAGTTACAATTTATTTTATCGTATATTTAAAATTTTCTTAAAGATATTGTGTATTTGAATAAACATACAATAAGTATTTACATATTATGTGGATATTAGCTATATATGTGATAAATGGTTTATTGATAAGGAAATGTGAAATATATTATACCTTGTATATATAGAATATATTAAATGGATATACTGCAAATCAGACAAGTACTATATAACAAAAATTAATTAGAGAAACTATTTTAAGCACAACATAGGTAGAGACGAGCATTTTTAATAGGTCGTATTTGTTCACGGCACAGATTTACACAATAGCAACACTGTCGTTTTATATTTGTATTAGCTTAAATAATTGATTTATAATTCTAATTTATATAGCTACATTAAATATTTTATAAATAAATATTTTAGAACTTTGATATCTTATTACCTAAAAAATTATTAATGGATCAAACTTGAATAAAATAAATTATCAAATAGTTATTAGTTTATAAAGAAATTGTTTTAAATTTTATTATAATATTGTATAAATTTTTCTTCTAACTTTTTTAGGTTCAAAATATCAAATAATTGTTACTTTTATATTTGTACATTTATTTTTATAATAATAACTTATAATATTAATTAAAATAAGAAACACTCTTAAATAAGAAACATAAATTTTTTAATGATTTAAAAAAACTACCACAAATTAGATATTCAATAATTATTTTGGATATTAAGTATATATTGTTATTAAAATATATCATCTAATACTTCATATTTTTCATATTCTTTTAGTATTATGATCAATAATACATATTTATGCATTAAATTTTATATAACTTGTATCATTAAATTTTAGAATAAACCAAAATGATGAAATGACACTCATATGAATTATATATCAAACACATCTTAATCCTTATCATACTTCAACTAAACTGTAAAGCATTGTAAACTAAATCATTTAACGTTATATATCTAGTTATGAGTTACAAAGAATAATAATACCACTGTAAAAATTGAACTCAATGGATTTTTTTCTTTATAATATTACATTTTACTAATGATGTATATCATCATAAATCATAGTGTTTTTGAAATTTTAAGTCTCTATTTTTAATTCTCTTTGTACAAATTGAGTTCATTTTTTTTAAGAATCTCATTTTACATCCACTACACCCATCATATAGTACTTGTTTGATGATGTACTTAGCTAAATGTTGTTTGTTTTCCATTTTTCCCGTACTTCCCATTTGTCAAGAGAAATGGCCGAATTATGATGAAGAGAAGTTATAAATGTTTTGTTCGTGAGCAATACATGGACTATCTTACAAAAATGAAAGGATTTGAAACTTAAAATCTTAATTACTCGATTTTGTTGCTTTAGCTTATTATATTAATCGTGAATTTTGGGAATATAAGACTAGATATTGTTATCATTTTACACTCACGGCTGCTGCTGCGGATGGGGTACTTAACACTACCTCAGCTGTTTGTAAAGAAGCCTTATGGACTTGCACATAAATTACAATCCATTTTTTTTTTACAGTTTGGTGCTCAGATATATATGGTAAAATCATCGAATTACATTCAAATTGTGCCTCGTTTTAAGAAGACCAACCGTGGTAATTTGCCTACAGCTGCAAATATCTTCTCTTTTAGATCATTTACAATACATTTTGCTATTTTTTCATCTATAACAGAGGAATTCTAAAATAGAGGTAAATTTTATCTCCAATGCATACCTCTATTTTTTTCTCTAAAAAGAATATTATAAGAATATTTTTTAAAAAAATTATTTTTAACATCTTTTATTTATAAAATTCACAAATTAACTCTATTATTTTTTTACAAAAACATTCATAAACTCATAATAATATTAAAATTAAGCATTTATAAATAAGAAAACAATACATTACATCATTATTATTTTATGTGTCCCAATTTTTTTTCCAAACTATAACCAAAACTAATACATTTATATTCAATTAAATTTTCATACTTGTTATAAATAAAAAGATTTAAAACTTCAAGGACCATTTTATCAACAAGAAAGTTTATTTCTATTTTAGAGATGGGTTGTAGATGCTCTTAAACATAAAATCTCACTGCTCTATTCTATAAAATAAAAGTACATCTGCTTTGTTTTTTGTTTGTTTTGTTTTCTAATTCATGTGTTGGCTTTTTTTGACTCGGTTATACTTCTAAACTTATGGGGTGAGGTTCATTACAATTCATTCTATGTCAACATTGTCAAGGAGGTATGTGACCTTCCGTGTATGATATAGTCAAACATTGACTATATTGAATCAGATGAGATAAAAATTAGCCTTGAATCCTCTGCAGAGCCAACAAGAAGGGCTTTGGCTTGGATTAAGAAGTGGAATTATCCTTTGCAAAGTCCTCAATAAGGTTCAGCCTGGGGCTGTTTCAGAGGTAATTACATAAAACTTTCGCTTGAATCCTTTCGAGATATACAGCTTTAGGAGCGGGTCCTGAGGAGTTTTCACCTCTCTTTGTTGAATCAGGTTGTGGAAAGTCCTTGTGATGCTATTCTTGTTGCTGATGGAGCGCCATTATCAGCGTTTCAGCATTTTTGAATGTAATTTGTCACTCAAATTGCAATTGCAGTGACACGACGATACCAGGAGTCTATGTATGATCCTAAGAGCATTTGAATGGAATCCACCTCGAGAAAAGGTAAAGCACTCTCTTTTATGCTTTTTCTTACTTTACAAGAAACATCTCTGGTGATGATTGATGCTGATGAATGGTGATAAGCAGCCATGCATGTTGTAGCAGCAAGGCCTTTGTTTTTAAGCAAAGACCTTGTTTCTTCATAAGTCTCGGGTTACTTTCTCACGTTATTCTTATGAAATTGAGCTCAAAACTTGTAAACAGAACATACCTGAGCTTGAAAAAAGTTTGTCTTATCAAGAACGCGTGGTGTATGACAGGCAGAGAGTACGGCCAAGTCTCAGATGGCTGTAGAGAAGATGGTGGAAGGCCGTCTCCGTAAATATTATGAGAAAGTTGCTCTAATGGAGCAGAAGTTTGTAAAGAATAATGCTATAAACATTAAGGTATATATTAGGATTTGTCTCTTAACATTACTGTATGATTGTATCTGCATCGGTTGTTATTACTTGTTGGATGGAATAGGCCATGAATATTGAAATCTTCCATGCTATTCCACAGACAATGGTGGATAATCTGTCCAAGGAAGTGGGTTCTCCAGTGAAGTTTGTCAATTTTCTGAGAATTGAGGTTGGAGAAGGAACAAAGTAAGTATGGCCTATACATATGTTATTGTATGGCTTTTGAAGGATTGAAGCATCTGATGAACCGGTTGCTTATACTGCTTGAAGATCAGGAAATGTGGTTTTGAGCCAATAAGATGAATCTTTGTGAATTGCTTCTTCAGTCTTTCTTTGACTTTCAGCCTTATGAATCTGTGTGACAAAATCATTTCCCGTTTAGTTCTCTTACAAAGATCCATTACACACTTTTCTGTTCCACTTACCGTATAAATTGTGAATTTTGGTCATGTTTGAATCAAGGTACTCAAATACCAATGGTGTCAGATGAATAGTTTAGAGATGAAAACAGTTACTAATTGAGTAATCGCAATCAACGGTTTAAGATCAATGAAATATGATCGTACGGTTCATATTATAAGCTGTATTGAGCTTTCTGTATATGAGAAACACTGAAATAAATAATAACCCGTTCTCTCTCTTGTAAAAACGCTAACTTTTTCGAAAAAGCAAACTTTCCGATTGCTGCTCCCTTTTTTCTTGAGATCGTCTTTTTCTCACACTTCACTCTCTCAGTCTCTCTCTGCTCTTTTCGTCAATCATGGTGACGGAGACGATGCGATCGACCGTTAAAATCACCAATGTTCCTCAAACCATAGTCGCCGGCGAACTCCTCCGCTTCCTGGAGCTCAACCTCGGCGTAGACACCGTCTTCGCCCTCGAAATCCCAACGACTCGCGATAAATGGAAGCCACGGGACTTCGCGCGAGTGCAATTCACTTCCCTCGATGTCAAGTCTCGCGCCCAGCTTCTCTCTTCCCAGAGCAAGCTCCTCTTCAAGTCCCATAACCTAAGAGTCTCCGAAGCCTACGACGACATCATCCCTCGCCCTGTAGATCCCAGGAGGAGACTAGACGGCGTCGTTTTGACCGTTGGGTTTCCCGAAGCCGACGAAGGGAGGCTTTGTGCCCTAGAAAACTGGGAAGGCGTGAGGTGTTGGGTCATAGAGGAGAAGAGGAGAGTGGAGTTTTGGGTTTGGGAAGGAGAAGATTGTTACAAGATTGAGGTTAGGTTTGAGGATATCGCTGAAACTGTTGGATGCTGCTTCAATGGCGCCTCTGAGACTAATGCATTTCTTCTAAGGGTAAACGATTCTAACTCTCTTTTTTTCCCCCAAATTTCCTATTTGAATGAAATCGTTTTGACTCATAATGTGTTTGTGACAATGTGCATGTTGAATCTCTCTAAGTTCACTTGATTTGGCTGAAATTGAGATCCTTGTGTTGTTCTGTGATTAGATAGATAATGTCTCAAACTCTGTGTAAGTCTGTGTTGGGTTTTATCCTGTTGATAGCTTCTGAGTTCAATGGATTTTATATTGACGTGCTATGTTTAAGTCTCATCTTGGTCACTTCTTGATTTTTTGTTTACTTGTTGTCTCATTTCCAGCTGAAATATGGACCGAAGATATTTAAACAAGTATCAGGACCTCATATAGCCACAAAGTTTAAATCTGATCGGTACCGTTTCTGCAAGGAGGATTTCGATTTCATGTGGATTCGAACAACTGATTTCTCTGGTTTGAAGTCAATAGGTTCATCTACTTGCTTCTGTTTGGAAGTCTTGGAAGGCTCAACGATGACAGACATCTTCTCATGCTTCCCTTACTATATAGAAGACACTTTGAGTCTAACCTTTGTTGATGGGAACACCTTTGCGTCTTCAAAACAAATTGTCCCTCTCTTGAACACCACTGACCTTGGGATAGAGCCTCCGTATGAGATCCTTTTTCAACTCAACTCGCTGGTACACGCGCAGAAAATCAGCCTTTTCACGGCTTCAAACATCGAGCTGATCAACATCCTTCGTGGTTTGAGCTTGGAAACCGCATTGGCTATCCTCAAGAAACTGCACCAGCAGAGCTCTATTTGTTATGATCCTGTCACATTTGTTAAATCTCAGTTGCATTTCGTTGTTAAGAAGATGGCGCATTCACCTGCATCAGCGTATAAGAGATTGACAGAGCAGAACATAATGAGTTGTCAAAGAGCGTATGTCACACCTTCAAAGATCTATCTGCTTGGACCAGAGCTTGAGACTGCTAATTACGTTGTGAAGAACTTTGCAGAGCATGCCTCAGATTTCATGAGAGTTACTTTTGTGGAAGAAGATTGGAGCAAGCTTCCAGCGAATGCTCTTTCTGTGAACTCTAAGGAAGGCTATTTTATGAAACCTTTTAGAACAAGCATTTATCACAGAGTGTTGTCAATCCTCGGGGAAGGAATCACCGTCGGGGATAAAAGGTTTGAGTTCTTGGCCTTTTCCGCGAGCCAGCTTCGTGGAAACTCTGTATGGATGTTTGCTTCTAACGAGAAGATAAAAGCTGAGGATGTAAGAGAATGGATGGGTTGTTTCCGTAAGATCCGAAGCATCTCCAAGTGTGCTGCTAGGATGGGCCAATTGTTCAGTGCTTCGAGGCAGACACTTACTGTCCGTGCGCAAGACGTGGAGCAGATTCCGGACATTGAAGTCACTACCGATGGTGCTGACTACTGCTTCTCGGATGGCATTGGTAAAATCTCCTTGGCGTTTGCTAAGCAAGTCGCGCAGAAGTGTGGACTGAGTCATATTCCTTCAGCGTTTCAGATTCGATACGGTGGCTACAAAGGTGTGATCGCCGTTGACAGAAGTTCCTTCAGGAAGCTGTCTCTGCGTGACAGTATGCTAAAGTTTGAATCCAACAACAGGATGCTTAACGTAACAAGGTGGACAGAGTCGATGCCTTGCTTCTTAAACCGAGAGATCATCTGCCTTTTGTCGACTCTAGGAATAGAAGATTCAGTGTTTGAGGCGATGCAAAGAGGACATTTATCTATCTTGGGGAATATGCTTGAAGACCGTGATGCAGCGCTTAATGTTCTGCAGAAGTTGAGCGGAGAGAGTTCCAAGAATCTTCTGGTTAAGATGCTGCTACAAGGATGCTCACCGAGTTCAGAGCCTTACCTCTCAATGATGCTTCGCGTACACCACGAGAGTCAGCTTTCTGAGCTGAAGAGTAGGTGCAGGATACTTGTGCCGAAAGGACGGATCTTGATCGGTTGTATGGATGAGATGGGTATCTTGGAGTATGGCCAAGTGTACGTTCGTGTAACCCTGACGAAAGCGGAACTTGAATCTCGCCAACAGAGCTACTTCCACAAGATCGATGACGAAACATCTGTGGTGATTGGGAAAGTGGTTGTGACGAAGAACCCATGTCTTCACCCTGGAGACATCAGAGTTCTTGATGCTATATATGAGGTCAGTTTTGAACAGAAGCTCGATTGCATCGTCTTTCCTCAGAAAGGAGAAAGGTATAGTAAAATCAATCCTTTAGAGCTATGCACCAAAGCTTCTGATTCTTATAGTAGTTGATGGTTTGTTTCTCCTTGTTGATTCCACAGGCCACATCCAAATGAATGTTCTGGTGGTGATCTTGACGGAGACCAGTTTTTTGTTAGCTGGGATGAGAAGCTTATACCGAGCCAAATGGATCCTCCAATGGACTACGCTGGAAGCAGACCTCGTCTAATGGATCATGATGTCACCTTAGAGGTTAGTTTCTTGAAAAAGGCTATGGTAATGTCAATGTGAAAGTTTCCTAAATCTGTTTAAAGCCTAAGCTGATTCTCTCTGCTTTTGTAGGAAATCCACAAGTTCTTTGTTGATTACATGATAAGCGACACGCTTGGGGTGATCTCAACTGCGCATTTGGTTCACGCAGACCGTGATCCAGAGAAAGCTCGGAGCCAGAAATGTCTTGAGTTAGCAAATCTTCACTCCAGAGCTGTTGATTTCGCGAAAACCGGAGCTCCAGCTGAGATGCCTTTCGCATTGAAGCCAAGAGAGTTCCCTGATTTCTTGGAACGGTTCGAGAAACCAACGTACATCTCTGAGTCCGTGTTTGGGAAGCTATACCGAGCTGTGAAAAGCTCTTTAGCACAGAGGAAGCCAGAAGAAGAAACTGAGAGCGAGGACACGATGGCTTATGATTCGACACTCGAAGAAGCTGGCTTTGAGAGCTTCATAGAGACAGCGAAAGCTCACAGAGACATGTATGCTGAGAAACTGAGCTCGTTAATGAACTACTACGGAGCTGCTAACGAAGAAGAGATTCTCACGGGGATTCTGAGAACCAAGGAGATGTATCTGCAGAGAGATAACCGAAGGTATGGGGATATGAAGGATAGGATTACACTGTCTGTGAAGGATTTGCAGAGAGAAGCCATGGGATGGTTCGAGAAGAGCTGCAAGGAGAAACAACAGAGGAAGAAGCTAGCATCGGCTTGGTACTATGTAACATACCACACGAGCCATCGCGATGAGAAGTCGAAGTTCTTAAGCTTTCCGTGGATCGTAGGCGACGTTTTGCTCGGGATAAAGGCTGAAAATGCAGAGAAAGAGACAGAGGGAATGATGATAGCGTGAAGCACAAGCAAGTGGACTTGTAGGGTTTAGTATAATTGCGTCTAACATTCGAAGGCAAACCAAAAATCGAAATCTGGCTCGGTTAATATATGTTTTACATAATATGGAATTGTTACTAGTAATTCGTAACAAAATCGAACATACCAAACTAATCTGGACGATATTAATGTTTTTCTTTTATTGGTCTTATAAACCAGACTTTAAGGGTCCTAGCTTCTGGTCCACATCACTACCACCAACACATTGCCCCAAAAAAGAGAAAGAAAGAATGTCTGTCGTGCTCTCTTATGGGCCTTACTATTTTGTGTGGGTTTTGTAGCTCTCAAATCAGATTTGAAAGAGACGCTCAACTCCTACTTGATCCCTTTTCTCCCTTTTTGAAATTAAATTTGACAATAAATCGAAATCCGCAATAATCTTGATTCTATATGATAAATCACGATGATACGATGAGATTCACGGTCGTCACGCGATTAGTTGAGAAAATAATAGTGATATCAATTGTATAATAGAAAGTTTTCAAAATTCTGTCACTCTAATAAGTGATTAAATGTTGAAAGGTTA